AAAAAGAAAGCTTATGACATATGCTTATTGCGGGATGCAGTTTGACATTTTATAGTGTAGAAAACTTCCTAGGTTGGGGACGACCGCGGAGAAAAAACTGTAGTTAAGAGGCTAGCTGAGATTACTTTGCTCGTAGTCAAACATAGTTGGCTTACCTTTCCTCGACATCCGTTTTATCTGCAATGATATCCAACAATGGCTGTGGTGGAATATTGGCGTTTTTCCATAATTCGTACTCTACCCGTGCTGATTGCGGCTGATTTGTTAACTGAATTGCACCACTTTCGAATAAGAATGTGAACTTCCACTTGAAGGTTAACAAAGGTACTTCTTCCGTAATAATATTCTCCAATGCGGTTAGATCTTCATTTTCTGCTGCTCGATCCAGTTCAACCCTTGCCTCAAGTGGGAGCTTTTCGACTATGCGTCGCATGCATCTTGGTTCATCTGCATTGCATTCTGAAATTATCGTTAAAAGGTTTTAAAACAACCATTGAACCCTTCAATAATCACCGATGAATTCCTGCTTCCCTGTAAGCCATGCTCTTATCGCTGCCCATATCCTTGCCCAAAAGGACATGCGAAAATGCTCGTTTGAGCGACTGAATGGGTACTCATAATGCATATTGCAAAATTTGCTTATTTTTAATAGCTACCGTTCAGCAAAATACTCTAATATGGCAAGCTGGTCGATTGGCGGTAGCAGAGGGTTGAGTTGCGAGCTCCACACTCCTCGTATTGCGTTATAAATAGAGGCATTCTGGAAAGATTTTAGTAACTGGTACAGTGCTCCCTAGTAGCCTATTTGCAATAATGACCTTATTCAGAAAAACAGCTCAAATAAGAAATTTGTTGCAAGTTGGATAAATGGCTTCAAATTGAAATTAAACGCATCACGCATGTCTATCCATTGAAATTAGTTACAGCTATCTATAATTTTTCGCTTTTTCAAGTTACATTTCGATGGACATTTCTCCCTTTACTCGTTCTCTTAAGATGACAGATTGTCAACAATATTTTTTTT